GCCAAACTGGGTAACATATTGTGGTAAGAAAGACCAGTAATGGGCTGGAGAGGCAATTTGCTGCTGTTTTCCATTTTTCTCTGTGACCTTTTCTTGCGTGTGTGCAATGTCTCTTTGAGCCTTCTGCTGTTCTAAATAATGCCAAAGCAGAATCACAGACCAGACACCATTCCTGCACTCAGTCTTCACCAAATGCCAACCAGTCATCAAACACAAGGACCCAGATTGATGAATGAATTTAAGATGGTCTGTCTACAAAGACATTGCCATGTCACTGTAACATATTGTGCCCATTATGTCTGAATGAAAAACAATACCCAGTGGTCTCAGTTATTCATCAACAAACTGAATACCAGCCAAATTATTGCTATTGAAATCACAAATGTTAGGTTAGTAAAAGGCTGGGGGCTTTCAATTTTTAAACACAGATGCCTTTTAGTGAAGACTCCAAATATATTTTTTTCAATATATTTTTTTTTCAATATTTTTAATTTTAATATTGTTTTTTAACTGTGTTCCAGCAAGCTACTCCAGACCCAATTCTTATTCTCATCACAAAGGAAAGAACTCATAAGAAATGACATACAGCAGCAGTGAAACACACAAGTCAAAAACAACTTGAAACCAACTCCCAAAACAAGATCTGCCCTGAGATAAAGAATGCTACTTGAGACTGTAGATTATAGATTTAACTTCCCTGGCTCAGCCTAAAATCTGTTCACAGTGTTTTCCACCTTTAGGAATATTAGATGAAGAGCCACACAATTAGAACATGCTGCCCTGGCTGTCTTTTGAGGCCCCTTCTGTGATTAAAAGGTTTCTTTGTCTGCTGACAAAACCTTTCTCAGTTGCTCTGCCATCATACACAAGAAACAGCGACAGACAACAGAGCTCTGTTTGACAGGCTTCCTCTTAGGCACCAATACTGATAGACTACTGAAAAATTCAGTGCTGCTCAGAGACTGATCTGGAGAGGAAAATTAAAAGCACCCTTTCTCACAGTCGCCACAAGTCTTGTTTTATTCATTCATTGTTTTGAGGCTCCTCTTATTGTATCTGCACCTCTGGGCAGAAGATGTATGTGTACATCAAGTATTATTAGGATGCGAATCGCCTCTTAACACTGCATGGTTGACAACGCTCAGCTCTGTAAAATATGCACATCTTGTATGTTTTGATCCATCATGAAACACCATATCCAACACTTGGATGTGGGAGATCTTACAGGTAACACTGTCTCATATAATGCAAATCATTAACGTCTGCTTTCTGTTTGTTTGTAAGAAGATGCGTAACTTAATCACAGCAAATTATCCTTTCAGAGTTTTACTCCTCAGCACATTTTAAAGCTCCTACCTCTTTAGTGGAAATGTCACAGCATGTTCAATTAAGGACGAAGTCATTAAATATGTAGTCGCCTTCGTATTGCTCCGAATTAAATGAGCTGCTTTGGATTTGCCTGCTGTTTAGGTGTACACAAATCAAAGCACTACTGCTATAATTGTCGAGGTTCTAAAAGAATATTTGCAGAAAAGAACAAGAAATAACAACAATACATAGCCAACATAGCCTTTGGGTATTTTGAGCCTATGCTTAGAAAATGGAGACTAATAAGAACAGTCTCAACCAAATCGAGGACAGCAAAAATGGAAGCAGATTAAATATGAGGCTGCACTATGAATATAAAATGACACTAAGGTTATAAAAAAGTTCTATTCACTGCTCCATCATTCAAACATGTTCAAATCTGCAAATCATGATGAGTTTCAGGCATGTTTCCTTCCTTCTGGGTATTGGTTTCTAAAAAGAGGGCACGCTATAATAACAGCAATACAATATTGTTTCAATTAATTAATGATAGCTTTAACAAGAACAAAGTCACAGTTGTGAAAATATGTAGGTACATTAACTAATTCAAATTTGGAAGGGCTCACGCTTAGGTATTTACTCAGCTCGACTAATTTTCACTGTTTATTCTGTTTATTCAAAAGTACCACTTACACAACTATTTGTGGAAGATTCGTTTGTGAAAATGATTTTATCCACTATATTCTAATGCAGGCACATTTTTTCTACACATGACTTCTGACTTCTTTGATGGGAACTTGGAGAATCTGAATGACCTTCTTGTAAGCAGCTTGTTTCAACTGCAGATGTGAGTTGGAAGATGTACACAATAGTGTGCATGCGTATGTGTGTGTGTGTGTGTGTGCCTAGTGCTTTTCTAGGTGGCCTTGAGTTTCTTGGCTTCAGTGGAGTTTGAAGGTGTGGGGGTATTACTCCATGGACCACAAAAGCAACAGTGTAGCAAACTAATAGATGCCACTGAGTCCAGGTCCTGAGGCGTTGAGGAAAAAATAACTCTTCCTCATTAACATTGGTTTAAAATGAATTAATTAATTTTGAAATAAATAAATAACACAGGATATACTTTTTATACTTTCTCCTCTGCAGTTTTTCCATCGTCCTTCAGAAAAAGTAAAGTGCACTTTAGTACTTCAGGTGAAGTATTAAATTATCACCTTGTATTCTTCTTCTCATCCTCATCTTTTGAGAAGTGTGTTTCAGTATTTATTTAATAACTCTACATTTAATTATGTTGTCTTACATTATACCTCTGTATATCAATATTAATTGTTTAGAATATTAAATTTTTTAGCTGGGGTGCTATGAATGCCTTCTGGCTATTCTGTTCTAATGAGGTGCTATATCACAGACAAGGCAGATAATCAGAGGCACAAATTAACAAGGTTATTTGAATTAATCAGGTGATATATTTGCGTGAAAATTTAAACAACTCTAAAGGGCACGCGGCTTTTTTGTTTCATTTCAATGCACGTGGCAAGAGCCAGTTGAAACTGATTACCGTTAATGAATTCATCAGCCAAATATGCTCAACTATTTAGAAGGTCTTGCTGAAACCCATCAATATCCCCAACTTCAGTGACATTAATTCCATCTTGTATGAACTATTATATATACATAATTGGCCAAGTCTGCTCTCAGCTGGCACAGCAAACATGCATGGACTTAGATAGAATAAGTTAAGTACTAATGAAGGTCATTAGTGATGATTAATGTTCACAAATACAAGACTGAAGACCGTAATGCAGCGCCTTAATGTGTGAGAACAAAGAAAATGTGAAGCACTTAATATGTTAAGCACCCCTGAGATGAGAGCAGTTTGTTAAAAGTAAGCCTTCTTTGCTGCTAATTATTCAAATTTTCTTGCTCAAAAGGTGAAGGGTCTTTCCAAAAAGATGCATTTGCAAAAAAATGCAGAAGACTTGAGAGTGTGTTTGTAAGAGTAATCTAACAAGGACAAGTATAGCATACATGCACTGCTGAATACTGAGGAATCTGATGGTGCTGAACAGTTACCGGTTATGTAACTCCTTGTGACTTTCAACCAAAGGATGATGTTTCACTTTCAACATGATGGAAATATTAATATTGCACAAAGTTCCCACCTTCACTCTGGTCTGATTTATTCTACCCTTCTTTTCATTATGGATATTTCATGAAGTAGTTCACACAAACACTTTTTGAAACAGAAAAAAGACAATTTAATATATAATTCGTTTACAAAGCAATTTTTTTTATTAATTATTAAAATAAACATTTCTGGCACAAAGCTATTTCATAAATTCTAAATTTGAAATTAAAACAAACTAACTGTGAAAGTAAGATACAGCATGCCTTGTTTTACATCTTTGATTTCTATCCTTTGGTATCATACATTCTTCAAGAATACAGAGTCATTCCACTAAAGCATAGTATTGTGGCAAAATAATGTCCAACTAATAGCTCACTTCTCACTGTAAATAGTTTAACATTAATATAAGTGTCACGTAATCCACACCCTGCTCCATGTGGATTACGTGACACTTGTATGAACTGTATGTGATTTTCTATTTTGTTTGGATGTGGCATTTCTTCTTCAGTGCAAGTATGAGTGACTCAGAGCGAACCTTCCTAGATGTCGCCATCACGGAAGTCCTACCAGAACTTCAAGCTGTGAACAAAAACATCCTGGAGGAGCACTTGCAGTCCATTGGAGTTGAGACAAGTGATGATCTACGCTTCGTAACGGAGGCAGATTTGATGACAGCATTAAGACCTGTACAAGCAAGAAAGCTTCTTTCTGCTTGGAAACAGAAATGTAAGTAAAAACAACAAACAACTATTCAAACTCAAAAGCAGAGATGGTCATGAACAGACATACAGTGTGAATCATAATTGTATTTGTTTTGTAATTTAAAGACCAAACTCCAGAGAACAGCTCGCTATCATCTGTGGAAGCCTCATCAACCCAGTCGCTGTCATTGCTCTCACTTTCACCCCAAAGTCTATCGTCGACCTCCTCCAGCAGCCCAGGATGTGACACACAATGGGATGACAACTTTGAAATTCCATGGAGTAAACTTCCTGCAGAAGTGATGCATTTTCTTGAGAGGGGGAAAAGGCCTCGCCCAAAACTGAGGAGGCAAATGGTCCGGATTGTTGTGACTGAGATGATGGAAAAATGCCCTCATGTAGGTAGAAAACATTCAATTGACGTTGCAAGAAAAATGGTGGCAAAATATCCCAATTCTCTGCAAGATTTAACAGAGGGTGAGATTGTTGCCGCAGGCTACCTTTCACTTGTCAAACAGTTGCAGAACAGAATTGAAAATGTAAGGCGCACTTCAACACCCAAAATAAGAAAAAGAAAACATCAGACTGACTCAGACCACACAGACGAGATCCCTTTAGAAGAAAGAGCAGCCATGCAGGATACATACGGGTGCATTAAATGGAATGTAGAATTTCTGCCTCTTGAAGAAACTCCAGAGAGCCAACAGCAAAAGATGGAAAAACTCAAGGTGATGTTCCAGCAAGCTGACACCAATCCAGAAGAGGTAAAAAGTCTAATGAAGTCCACTTACTACACACAACGTCTGCATGTCAATCAGGGGAAAAGTATCAAATGCCTTAGGGAGGAGTGGCCGTTTTGGTTTGATGAACTTGGCATGTCTGTCCACTTCAAGGAACTTACTGGGATTGACCTCAAAGAGACATTCACACGTAATTTGGATTTGAAGGGGAAAAGGCTACTGGACTACTTGACCACAGTTGCTGTCAGCAAAAGCAAGGTGTTCCTTCAGACTTATGCAAGGCTTCAGAGGATGCGGGGACCGCAGAGTGGCTGCTCAGATGATGTGAAAGAGATGGTCCTGCTTCTGCTCAGCTACTTTGAAGAGAAGGAGGAGTCCATGCTTCTCTGTGTTGAAGATACATGTCTGGCAGATGAGGTACAACTGGAGCAAGTGCCTCTGACACCCACTATTATCGTGTGTGGTAAGTCTGTTTCATAGCTCTCTTTTTTTTTTTTAAGTGCACTTTTTATAGAATGTCATGTGACTGCCGTGTTTATTGATATAACCTGTTAAATAATTTGTTCACAGGACAGTCCTGCTATTCCTCAAGAAGATACATGCTGAGTGTTGATCGGAACCTCGTCAGCACAAACATATCCTCCTTCATTTCTGCACTGTGCCTCATGTTCGGGAGCTACTACAATTTCAACATCCATTATCCATCTGAGCTGGCTTCCACTTTAGAGTTTCTTCAGAGGTGAACAAATATGGCTTTGTTATTTCTTATAACTGAGACTCTGGGATCTGGAGTCTGGCTTTGATGTGGTTCGAGTCCAGGTCTGGCTCTGAGTCTCGGTCGGCTTTGGAGCCGGTTTCAGTTGTTTTTTTTCAGTTTTTTGTTGTTGGTTGTTTTTTGTTTGTTTGTTTGTTTTAAATACATTAACAGTCTGAATCCGGGTCCAAGCCTGGCCGAGACTCAGGGCTAGACCAAGCGTCAACTGACGTCTGACTACCTATAACCTTTGCTTTGGATTTTAACAATGCTAAAGTGTGACATATCACTGCAGAAGACACTCGTGAAGGGTGCCAATACTTTTGACCATGCATTGTTCACTTCCCCACAGCATTTTGGTTATACTTTGTCTTGAACGTGGTCATGGCCATGACTGTATATATATGTATATACTTAATTTTTACTTACTTTGTACGTGTATTTTAACTGATCAATTATAAAAATGCTTAATAAACTTTTATATGATTGTTATTCTACAGGTGTTTCTTCTCCATAAACCCAGAAAAAGGAACCAAAGTAGAGAACAAAAACTCAAAGCGTCGTCTCAGTGTGAACCCTCGAGTCCTCACCCTGATTCAGGATCTCGCCGACCACGAGTGGCGCTAAGCCTAAATCTTGACTCTCTGTGGACTGTTAGTTTTACTTTGTTAATTTTGTTCCACAATGTGTACTGGAACCTTTTACTGGTCGAATGCATGAAGCCAATTCATGAAGATGTTCTTTCTTTGTAGGAATGTTCTTTATTTACATAAGAAAAGAAAAAAAACAACATGCTGCTACTGCAGTGTTTCTAGACCACATGTGTAGGTTTGTTTCACCACGTGGTTTTGCTGATGTTTTCTGACCAGGGCCATGGTTGTGGTGACAGCAGGGTGCGTGTTGCGTTGCACGGTGATTATGATCATTTTGACACAATATGTGTTTTTTGTTTTAAAGTCTTAACAGGTTAGTTAACTTTTTCTGGTGGAGGGTCTAACAAATGCTTGTTTCATGAACATGGTTCTTGCTTTGCAGGAATGTTCCACAGCTTTTATAGCCTATATTTTGATTGAATTGTGTAGTTGCTGTGTGCCTTGCATATTGTGTTAGTTGGAAAAATGGATCCATTTGCTGTCATTTTGCTAATGTGGCTGCAAAATAAATTTCCCAAAAGTGATATTTTCCTCTCTTGTGTTTTCTCAAGATGTATTTTTGCATGTTTGGGTGTAGGCGTAGCAGTAAGAAATTTGCTGGGTTATGGTTAAAATTTTACATTAAAACATATAATATTCAGCATAGATTTTATGTATAATTTACAGAGCAGCTCCATTTAATATGCACAGTTTCACTGTAGTTCTACCATTTTAAATTAGTTCTTTGTACGATATTTCCCTGTTAATTTTGCAGTTTATGGATCCACAAAAAGCATTTATTACTTGTGATATATAAATACACTATTTCCTGTATCTTTTACATCTATGTGTGAAATTAACTTCTTTTTCCTGTAGATTTAACAGTTTTAATCTGAGATTCATTCACTGTAAATCAATTTACAAGTTGCATCTGTAAAGCGTTTTTACAGGAAGTCCCTGGTAACCCCAGCTGCCAGGGTTTTCCTGTAAAAACAGCACGTTTTTTTTTTACAGTGTATGTTGTTTTTAAATATTAAATATTAGCAGTAGTTTTATGGCAATATGGTTGAATGAGCTTTTTAGGGCCATTTTCCTGGTGTAATTATTTTATTGTTACATTAACAGTCAATTATTTTTTAGTATGTGATGTGGTATGGGTAATATTACACACATAATGGCAAGAAAACTATTTGCAGGTTCCATTGACATTGTTCTTTGCAATCTATTTAGTTTGTCTTTTTATGCATACATAATTTCTTATATATATATAAATCATATAAACAGTTATCAAAAGACAAAAAACATCTGTTATACTCATTATAACTTTTAAATACTGATACATTATGATTATCTGCAAATTAAAAATCAATTTAGAGCATTAAAACTAAAATAATACCATTGATAGCTAAGTAATATACCTGTTCCTTTAACAGGTCTAATTTGTAACCTATGAACACAAATATTATGTGAGTTAGAAATTTTTATCTGAATGTCATGTTATTAGACAGATACCGTACTCAGACCACAGTTTGATTAAACAATTTCCTCACCATGCTGAGTTTGTATTACCTCCAAAGCATTAATGGCAGCTCTACATCAGTCTTGGGGAAGGCTTTTATATGCTAACTATTGATTTGAATCTGTATAGACACAGTATCTGGCCTCTGTCTCCTTTACTGCTCTCTGCCAATCACAAGGAGGTGGCGAAGGAGAGATTATAGCATTTGCTTCAAATTTCTGAAGTACTTCAACCAAAATTTTGTGTACTTCACATGAACACTAGCACTTCAAAGATGCTTGAATCAGTCCGTATGCAGCATTTCCTGGAAATCTTTTTCTAGTTCCTAAATCATTTTCAAGCAAATTTCTTGTGTCTTAACTGTGCATGATATGATTTCAGGAGTGGGGAACAGCATGAAACCTGAGACATTTCACTCATAGCTGCATGTGTGCAATTCTGGAACACAGTAAGAAGCTCACTGTGACAAGGTTTAATGTTTATAATGAATTAAACTCCCATTTCTTTTCCTTTGAAAAATATTTGAATCTAATTTCTTTCATAGAACAAACTGTACAAACTGCTATACATAACTTCCATAAATGATGCCTTCGATTAGGAAGTGAGAAATAAATCAGTAGCCCCCAAAAATGGATTTGTCAAGTGATTCTTTTGCTTTAATATATAAATGTCTGAACAGTTGCTTGGTGTATTGGCCGCTGTTATTGAGAAGTTAAATATAAATGGAAAGTGGATGGGACCCTGGTCAATCATAAGCTTGCAGGCAGAGATTTTCTTTCTTTTTGGCTTTGATTTGAGAGTGATCTTTCAAATCCAGAAACTCTGGCCTGTGATGTAATCGTTAATTATTAATGTACAGCTCCTATCCCCCCCTAGATTATAGTCATCCTCTGCTGCTTTTACAAAGCTTTCAAACTACCAATTTCACACTGGCATCTTTCCATCATCTTATTAAATAAACTCTAATGAAATCATTTAAAAAATTATAGTAATTGGGTAGTTCTAAGACAGAAGAGGTAAATCACAGGCTGTCTGACATTTTGCCAGCACATATGATTTCTGCTCACTGTGGCTTGTTGTTGTCTCTGTTTCAGAAACACTTCGCAGATAGTAGCCCCAGTGGTCAGTCCCAGAAAGCAGTAGTGCAACTTAAAAATGTCATGATAAAGACTCTTTTGAGTTCTATCTGTAATACAGCACAGCACTCTAGTGGCCACCAGGGTAATAATTGTGTGTGTGTGTGTGTGTGTGTGTGTGTGTGTGTGTGCGCATGTATACTTTTATGGCTAGCCTACTGAGTTTAACTTATAGAGTTTGTGAGTGAGGTTCAGGCTGGTTTTCACTTTGGAATAAACCTTTAAAGGCCTGTTTGAGGTTCACGACTTGTGTTTTTTTGTTAGGGTATGTGTTGTTTATGAGTGGTTTTATGTAGAAGTTTATACATACAGGATGGGTGTGTTTGTAACTCACACTAAGGTGTGAAGGCTTGGCTCTTTGCTGCTCATCTTTTTAGATTTGAGGAAAATGTTTGTCAGTACTGATGACTAAATATTAAGGTAGTTATTATTCAAAAAAGGGTGTAAAAAGAAACATATTCGGCTTTATATGCATTCAGTGTATTCAGAAGACATTTGATGAGACAAATCTAATGAAACAGAACATCAAAATGAAGTGATGGAACAGCCGTGGCTTCGTTCAGCAAAATAAGATATTTTTTACATGGGTTGACATTTTGACACAGACCGTCTGTGTGTGATACAGAGTAAACGCTTGACTACTCATACAGACAGAAGGATGGGATGTGTTTATAAAACTGAGAACACTTAAGTATCAGTAACTCTTCCAGAAATGTACCATGGTCAGACTTCCCTTTTCCTTTTGAGAGCAAATCTATTTACACAGCTAGAAACTAAAATAAAATGTCCTCACTTATGTGATTCGAAATCAAAAAGCTTTGCTTTCAAGGACCTCCAAAGCATCGCTCCAGAGCATATTCATTCAGTGCAGGTGCAAGGCTACTTTTAGTGACATCATGGGCAAAAGCAGCAAATATAAAAATAGATGAAGAGAAGAATACAAAGCATTGATTACAAAAACACATGTTGCTGTCTTTACATGAATCTTATTATAAAAGGGGTAATTACCTTGCCCACGGATTATGGAAAACTGGAGAAGAGAGGGATTGAACTACCGACCTTGTGATTAGTAAACAACCTGCTCTTCCACCTGAGCTACAGGTGCACATGACTATATGGTTTCTCAATTTACCTGGAAACAGCAAGAGCCCTTGAATCCCAGGAAAAACCACTATAGACGTTATTGTCTCTAAAACTCATTATTTACAGCAATGCCTTTAGTAATTTGCTATTTAATAATACACGGACACGCACTCATTTCAAAGTCTTAGTGACATTTGCTATCATTAAACCATATCCCAAAAACCTGTTGAAACCACTGTTTTTTCTTTGCTTCTTTGGACTCTTACATGTAGAGATCTGAAGTCAAAATCCGTGATGTGGAAAAAAAACACAGCAGGCAAGATTTTTGAAACAGCTTGGCAACACATGCCTGTCCTTTCATGTCATAATTGTTGGCAATTAAAATAACAAGGACCCTGAGGACATATTCAAACTGATTAAAGATTGAAGAAATATTACTGATGTAACTCAGATGAAGACAAAGACAGACAAAATTAAAGGATGAAAAAACTTTTATGAGAACCTTCAGTGAAGGGGCCATGTAGCTAGCACAGATCTCTGTTTTGTGTGTTGATCTTGAATGTAAGAACAACTTGAAAGTGTAGCTTTACACGATTTATATACAGCTGAAAGAAACTCCAAAGTACAAAACTGATATCCATAGTTTTAAGCTCTGCGTCCTTTATTAGGAAAAGTGTGCTCTCTTCAAATAAATGGGCATCAGACCTAAATAGTGAATAATTAGACATCAATGGGCAATCTATATAAATAATAGTTTTTCCATTTTGTGCAACACAAATATTCAACAAATTCATTTTAAAGTCTTGCACAGGATTCACATTACCATAAAGCTTAAGTTGCTAACAGCTCATGCACATTTTGAAAAAATGACTTCAACTTTGAAGAACTTTGAAGAAAAAAATATGGTCTCCATTTTCAAGTTGAGAATGAAAAACCTGCTTCTTCTTATGATACCCAGAATGTGCTTACAACACAAAAATTAAAAGATCGCATAAGTCAAATGTTAAGACTGCCCACCATGACTGGTACATACAACATGCCTTATCCTAGTATTTCTGTTTCTTTCTTTCTTTTATTTCTTTAACGTGAATTGTCTTATTTTCTTATCATCTGTCATCTTTTATTTATCTGTAAAAATAAAATAGTGTACTCCCTGGATATCAAAAAGCTGAAAGCTGTGTTTGTAAGCAGCTTTATCCTTTTGAATCAGCTATGAAAGTAGCTCTATCAATTTTCAACAAGGACATGTTTATTTATTCCAACAGGAATGTTCACAATTTTCCCAAACCTTGTGCCCATTTGCTACTCGTGCACTTGAAGGCTCACAAAGTGTAAAACTCTAAGCCTTCTATTCATGTTGTGGAAATAAAACAGTGATTTTTAACTCACCCAAATTCAAAAGAAAGGATCAGCTTATTCTATACATTAATGTAGAAATACTATATATTGATATTTGCATTACAATTTTGTTTAGATCAGAATCATCAGTCAAGGACACAGATGGTCAGTCAGGGAGTATAGGGAGCGGTCCAACCAATTTCATAGCTAATGCTGCCTACTCAGAGTGCATAGCAATTCTGCTGAGCCTGTTCTATTTGACATTGTGAATGTGTCATGTTCATAGGGATGGCTCCTTTCGAATCAGCCTGATGCAGCACTCACAAACTTCAGTCAAGCCTCACATCCACTTGAAAAAAAAAAGTCATGCAAGCATTTTTGCCAACAGTGAAAATTTCTCATCTGCCTGTATCTCCTTTAGCTGTATTAGCAAATCTGACTGCCTTGGTTGGCCAATCTGTAGTCTAAATGTAAAGGGCCGACTTAACAGTACTTGCATGGCCTACACACAAATACTAGAATACGTTAAATGTCGAGGCAATACATTTGCAGGTGGTTTTCATCTCATGTGTGTTAGCTATTTTTTTTATTACTGTCTGTCAGGCACAAAGAAAATGATGAAGTGCAAATACCACTTATTACACTGTAATGTCCATCCCTATCTGTTGTTTTCATCTCCTGTTATAGTGCCATGGACTTTTACAGCCTCCTCATCAAACAAAGGGACTGTTCAGCCAGTAGTGTGAAATCACATTTTAACGAAACCCACAGCAAAAGTAAATAATTAAATAAACTGAAAAATAAAAGGCGTAACTTTATCTGCTTCTTTAAAGCTCCATTGACAGTTAATTAAAAACATCCTGCTTCTGTGATTGCTTGCTTTGGAAAAGCTCTTTCTGTTGGCTAATATTGATTGAAATGTACCAGGCCAGGGGATCCGATTTAATTTAAGCTCAAACAAATTCCCTTTTGATAATACTTTATGAAAGTTGGCTAAATCATTCTCAGTATAATAATGCAAAGTGAACAATGCCAGAACTTTGAATATTTAATGTATGAGAAAAATAAAACTCAAAGATCTCTTTACGCATTAAGTGTTTTAATTCCTCAAGTCTGTGGGAAACTAAACTTCCCTTGTCCACAACATGTTTGTGAGGATTTTCTAAGGAACTGTTTTGTGAGAGCAATGCCAAGGGCATGAAAAGGTAACCTGCAAATCTTTCTAAAAGGAGACTGTTCTCCTAAACCAAACCAGAAACAAGAGGGCTGATAACAACTTTCATTGTGAGATGTATATTTACTTTGCTGCAGCTACCCATTTTGCTTAAACATATATTTTTGCAGGACTTTCAAAATGAATCATATTGACCATAACAGCTGTACACTTGGAAAACCAATAACTATGAAAAAGTATACTTATTAATATTTTTATAGAAAAAGTCTGTATTAAAAAAAACTTTATCATGATGTTAGACATAGTCACAGCAGGTGCAACTTCACGAAGCTTTTAATATAGCCTATTCCTGATGCTTGTAATTGTCATATGTTTGCTCTCTAAAAATTAGCTACTTATTTCACAACAACAAATAGTTTGAACCACACATAAAATGAATTTGAATCAAGGTTCTTTGCACTTTATGCTGACTTATATGCAGTTATTATAGTTTTCCGTTTTCTAATTAGTATGTATTTTTATTTTGTTTTGGTTTGCCAAGCGGATTTTCTTATTTCAGTTAATCTTTTATTTTTTAAAAATGCTTAGTTTTTATTTTAGTTTTTATTAGTGTCAATGTTAGTTTTAGTGTTTTTGAATATTATTGTATGGAGGGCATGTGTCGAAGGCAAGATTTTTAATTTTTAATTTTATTTTAGTTAGTTTTTGAATTTTTAGTTAGTTTTTACTTGTATCTTTTTTTCTTATCAAAAACCGAAATTTTTTTTTAGTTAACCAAAATAATTTTTTCACATGTTTTTTTGGTTTTTAGTTTAATTTTAGTTAACTATAATAACGTTGCTTATATACAAATCTATTTTGCATTCAACCTGACCGCGAGCGTTTCTTCCTTGCTCGCTTTGTCCTGAGGTGGAATGAGCGTGACGTCAAAACGTCATCACGCAGAGTACTCGCGCTCAACACAACGAGGCACGTTCGTTTCGGTTTGTTTTCACGGTGGAGGCTGAATGACAGAGCACGGCTGAAGTTGAGTTAAAGTGAGGCGATTCTGTGAAAAGTAAAGTTTTAACTGTGGGCAGCTGAAGACACAGGGCGAGGAATTTGTTCACAGACGGGGCAAAACGTATGTATTTTTATTCCATCGGTTAATACACTGTCTAAGCTCAGACTAGCTGTGTAGCTAACGTTAGCCTCTGAGCATGCAGCATCCCTTGTGGGGAGTTGATGACGACAGGGTAGGAAAATAACACATATAGTCAATTTGTGATCCAAGTGATTGAATGCGGTTTTTTTTAGTAAGGGCATAATTCTTCAAAGCAAGCTTTTTCTAACTGTACTTAGTGCAGCATTGTATCTGAAAAGTCTGATAGCTTATTAGTTTGAAAATGTCATTTACTAATAAATGAGATAATATTGCGCCTGTAGCTCTGGTTTGAAACCACCAGATGTGCAGTTTAAAAACGAGCATGCACACAAAAACAACAGGGAGGATGCAACACATAGCAAGCCCTTTAGTAATCAAGAATACCTGAAGCTGACTGGAGAGGGATTTGCACTTGCACAAACCTAGAAGAACTCCACAGTTCACACCAAATAAATACATGAGTGAAACATTTTGGTAGATTATTTTATGACATGATTAGCAGCATTAATGTGTACCTATTATTATACTTGAATAGTGGTATGATTTTTTAGCGAAAGGGCCGGTTTAATTTTCATATGAGATAATAAACTCTAGGTGTAATAGAAAATGCAATTTGAAGAATTTATCTTAGGTCTACAGAAATTGTGATAGTCATTGTAAGCATAGTTGCATGGTGTATAAAGTTCCAGATGTATATTTTGCTGTGGGAAACTAAACCTGTCCACAACATGTGGCAGATAATTAATATTTAAAATATTGTGTTTAAAATTTTTAAAAATCTGCAAATACTCTTGCATTGTAAACTCCATGTACATATTTTTGTCTTTTTTTTTTCTGTGCAGGGTTAACAAAATGTCTGAGTCTGTCATCAGATCGAAACAAGCTCAGAGAGAAGTCAATGGAATTCCAACAGAAGTCGTCTGTACAGAGTTCAGTAATTACATATTTGTAGTTCTCACTCAGTATGGCAAAATTGGGACATTGATCTCTGTCACACCCGACTCCAGATCTAATGATCTAAGCACCCCAACGTTCTCTACAAAAGTACTGCTGGGCAAAGATGAGGTACACTGGCTGAAATTGTTCACACAAATATCGTGTCAGTGTGATGCAAACTTGTTCACGGGACATCAGGCAGACTTGTTGCAACACAGGGTATCTCATTTCATGCCGTTAAAGGGCAAATGAGATTGATTCTGGACTGCTCAGGCGGATTGTGGCGAAATTAGATGTGTGCAGGCCTGAAGCTCAGTGGTCTGTTAAGATTTACTCAAGAAAACCTATTTCATCTCTGCATGAGCATGTCATTTTCTCACAGTCATACATTGCAGGAGAAGTAATATCAGTGTCTTATTGGATTAATACAAAGTTTACTTGCTTATGAATACTTTTTTTGTTATTTTTGCTCCTCTAACCATTTTAAATGGTGATACTTGCAATGCTTGTTTCTTGTAAAGTGAACAACTGTTTTAGATCGAGTGAGAAAGTACATAGAGGTCATTACACAGGCTTTCTGTGCGTTTTGAAGTTTACAGTCATGACACAGAAAATTAAAGTGTGTTGTATGATTTCCCTGCAGGGGAACCTCAACAAATGAATTAGCTGTAGTCATAATGTGTGTGATTTAAGCGAACTGAACAAATAATGCTTTGGTGATAATCTAATGCCTGATTTTTCTCTTTCCAGCCTCTGACACATGTCTGTGCCAAAAACCTGGCAATGTTCGTGTCGCAGGAATCTGGCAACCGGCCTGTCTTGCTGGGACTGGCACTGAAGGATTCCTCCATAGATGCAATAAAACAAATTAAAGAGATGATCAAAAGTTGTCAAGTCTGGTAGGAAGTAATTAAAACGGACATGAAGCCTGTAGGCGGCGTAAAATACAGCTCGTCTGGATACACTGTCACGTTTTATCTCTGCATCTTTTTTTAAAATGAAACTCCTCCAAAAAGTAATCTGATTAAAACAATTATGTCTCCAAGACATAAATGTGCAGAGCAGATTGTCTTCCACAAAACATAATTTATGAAACGCATAATTAACTGTTTGTTAAAAAGAAAGATTTTCTGCATGTTGTTTTCCTTTCAAAAGCTCAAAGTGTGCTAAGTGATGGTTTGCAAAATGATGTCATCGCTGTATATTTTTTTCATTATTAACACTCTGGATTATTTTTGTCATCATCCTCAGAACTTTGTACTTTTGTGAAAAAAAGCCTTTTATAGAACATATGATTCATTTGTATTTAAAGATGCATATGAGCTTGGTTAAGATAAGAGCCTTGGTTTTGTCAAGTACATTTTGTTATTCATTTGTTTCTATAACATCTCACTACTTGAGCTTTGATATTAGAACAATAGCTAACTTTTATATGCATTAAATGTAATTAATATGCTCAATTTTGTTTTGCTTGGTCAATTTTTTTGGTTTAAATGTAAGATGGGAGTAAGAAAAGCCTTTAGATGTCTTATCCTGGACCTATAGACCAAACCCCTGAAATATTCATTTAATTTCAGAGAAAAATGACCAGCTTTCTTAAAAGATTATTTTATTATAGCCATCTAAAAATTATTTTATTTTCTGACAGTAATATACAAATACTACATTTTGTTACATTTGTGAAGTTGTATAGTCAAGTCCATAAATATTTGGAAACTGACACTTTTTTTTTCGCTTCACTCCCACAGGGCATTTTAAGTCAAGCAGTGAAATTGTGATTGAAGTGCAGACTGTCAACTTTAATTCAAGTGGTTTTACGAAATGATTTGCAATTGGTTTTCTGTCTTTTTGATTTGCAACTATTTAGGAGTTAGGCCTTGGATAAAAGTGCCTCTCCCACTTTCAGAGGCTTAAAATGCAGTTAGTGACTGACTGAAGTATTGAACCCACGGACATTACCAAATGTTTCTCACCTTGAGATGCTCTTCCAGACTTTTAGCTACATTCAGTTACTGCCTTTTTGCATTCAGTTTTGTCTTCAGTAGTGCAACAGCATGCTCCATGGGGTTGAGATCAGGTGACTGGCTTGCACGCTGAATATCCCATGACTTTGCCTTGAAAAACTCTTAGTTTGCTTTTGCAGTATTCTTTGGGTCATTATCCATTTGTACTGTGAAGCACTGTCTGATCAGTTTTGCAGCATTTAGCTGGATCTGAGCAGAGTATAACTCTATACGTTTCCCAATTCATCCTGCTACTTCTATCATATCTTGATTGTTTGATTGAAATGGGAATGGGACAAAACTGTGGTGGCATAGAGAGAGAAAATTACAAAAATACTGAATTATCCTAAAACATAAATGTATATAATCTATAACTCAGAATATACATTTCAAGAATGTAATGTTTACATGTTCTGTTGAAATCAATGTAGCAAAAATATAAATGCACCTTATTTATTAAAGCAATTTGCATATTTATGTCCAATTTTCAATGTTAGTATCTTAATCCAAATTTCATCCTAAGACATGAAACTAAAACCCTCACAGACTAGCATTACATAACCAGTTCGCACAGCAGTGGTGCCTGAGTGTGTGAATTTGTAAGTGCATCAAATGAAACTAAAAGGAATGCCATCTTATATTTTTAACCTTCTTCATGGAAGAAAACTTTTAACTACCTGTTTTCTGAGTTGAGCATATTCCAGGCTCTTGCTTTACAAAAGAATATCTTTCTCATGTTTACAAAAGATTAAGCAGACATTTCAATGGTGTATTAAATTAAAACGTGATGAATTCCTTGTGTTTCTCCTAAATCAAACAATTTGTGCCTTTCTAATGTTTTTGTTTTCATTCACGTTCAATAAGAACTTGCCTCAAAAAATATGATTTAAATAAACTGAAATACTGAAACTGCATTGTCGACATAAAAACTGACCACAAAAAGCCCATCTGAGAAAACCCAACCCATGTAATCTCACTGTTCTGTTTCATAGGTCTGCAGTCAGTATAAATATAACAAAAGTACTTTTGTTATTTTTTTCCCTTTTATAATAATAGGGACTTATCTTGTCTGAAATAAATAAAGGTGATATAATATCACTTGATTACCAAGGCTGGAATTTAGAAAAGAAATGAACTTAAATAAAAATGGTTGCTTTCCATTTAAAGAGATGATCAATTTTAACTCTTGCACTTGTTAAGGGTAAGTATTATTAGCATTTTCTCAGCAACGCCATAATGCAAATTGAGATACACTACAGCCCTCTTCACTTTGATCATTTTATTATAGCTAATTATCTTTGTATAGCAAGACAGTTTTCTAAATCAACGTTACAAAGTGCTTCTCACAGGGCAACAACATCATTACCACCCGATTTTACTAAAGTGCTGTGGTCATAGTTTGCCTGTGGGTTAAACAACTTGTTGCAGTTTCAAAATATATTCATAAATTAACTAAAGTTAGTATAAGATTGAAAACAAAGCAGCAACTGAATTCTTTCCTGTTACGTTTTTTTTGGTTTTATTTTTTTAATTAATGATATTTTTCACTGTTATTCACTTTTATTCCAGCCAACATAGTTTAAATGAGTCACATCAACAATGTCCGCTGTCACATTATCAAGTAAAATAAAGCACAAGCATTTTTGGAGCACTGGGCGTTATTTTCTTTCACAGCTTTTATTGCCCTCATGATTCTTTATACTAACGTCAAGGAAAACTTATTAGGAAAAGACAAAGACAACATTTTTTAAATATTCAGTCACAAGTTGTGAGTTCATAAAAATAGTATGAACAGGTACTGAATAGCACTTTTTGTCATATAACCCGATGTTCCCTTAATGAGGCCAAGTCATATTTTACATATTTTATTATCTTCATAGCCAAGTAACCTTCCTCAAATTCCTCCTATAGGGTCTGCCTTGAAGAGAAGACAAGAAGTAACTATAAATTTATCAACTTTTGTCAAAGCATCATCATTAAATAAAACATCTAAAGACATGAATAATGTAGAACTAGAAATAGAACATAATAAAGCACTGCGTTTATCCAATTTCCTGTTGTTTCATGTAACTTTGCATAGGGGCGCTGCTCATTGATGAGAGGCTAGTAGAGCTTAAGTGCACTTGAGCATTCATCTAAATCCATCAGAGAATACATCTCATCTTTGAATCTTATCTTAGATTTTTCCCCATAAACAGGGCAGAAGGCAGAGCCCATAGAAACGGAAAGTCAATAACAAAAACTTTACAATAATATGACAACGTAAAGAATAAGATGATGTTTGTCTAATTATACAAAACCAGCACCAAGGTGTCACTGAGTTTGTTGGTCCAGGCTCCTTTAAAGAAAGTCCTGCCACCGTCTATGTGATCTTGCAGCAACAGTCAGTGGTCTTGTTATACATGATGTATATAATATGAGAGGAGGCCGGCAAATGCTGCTACAGTCGGTGCAATCATCCAGTTCACCAATAATTCTTGGGGTCTGGGTGCATATCCTTGGCTGTGTCACAGATGATGATGATGGGTGATCCTGATGTGCCTTTGACGTAACCACTGAACTCTATGCGAACCTCTGCCTCTAGCCTCAGGTGTAAGCGCACCTGTGAGCGGAAATGTGCCGCACTTTCTGTCACTGAAGTAACGTGATGACGACAGGCGTCAAGTCCAGGTCACGTGAACCATCCACCTGTAAACCTGTTGATTTGTGCCGCTTCCCAGAGTCGCCACTCGAGGATACGTTCAAATCTCTGCTGTTTATAATTTTATTTGTTATTTCGTGGCATCTCGCAGTAAATTCGGGTTCTATCGCAACATTTGTATACTCTATAGAAGCATTTTTTATGCTCTCCGACTGTGTGGACTTCGACCTCTGCGAGACACCTGCCTCAAACAAGGAAGTCTAGTTTGTTGACTGCGTCGCGGATGAAGTCAACGAGCGGTTAGTAAATGGGCCTAAATTGTCACGTTTAGCTGTTCTGAAAATATATTTCACCCTTAAAGCTCGTCGTGTAATTTTGGCTCGTGGACAGTGACTTCTAAACGCGATAAAGCTACTTCCGCCCTCTCCGGGACAAGGAGATCTCTTTGTTGACTGTGAAGAAGGTACGAGTCGATAAGATCATTTGAACCACATTCATCTCTTTTCTTTAAAAATGGCACTTCTTGTGTCCGTTTAGCAAACACTATTGCCTTTTTTGTCTTGTGCCTAATGGGCAGCATACAGTCACTCAGTCAAACACAGAGGGGCCGTGTGCTCACTGTAAAAAAAACTAAACCGACTTGGCGTGTTTTCTTTCTGTTTCAGATGAACCTTTCTTCGGAAGACATGGCTTCATTAACCGAAAATAATTCGTCTGCCCTGGATGCTTCAAAATCAGGCATGTCCAACATGACCATTATTGTATCAGGCAACGGAGCAATCATACAGAATGGGATGTTTTTAAACACAGTGGCTGCCCAGGTCCTTTCAGGGATATTCGTCTGGTCTGCCTTGCTAATAACTTGTCACCAGGTGAGTATGCACCATTTCACAAAAGGCTTTCATGTAAATCACTGTAAATACGTGAAAAGAACTAAAATCACTGCATTACAAAGCATCACACGCTCAAAGATGCAAATGCATAAAGAGTTCAGCTCACCATTTTAGTGTAACAGAAACAGATGTGCTGCACTTCCCTGTCCAGAGGACAGAAACAAATTATTCTATTCCTAAAGGCTTATTAGTGCACTGACTTCACTGTCCCTGCTTTTACTGTTTATTTGTTTTGGTTCTCACCCTGGCACTTTCTTATCTAATTTAAAGGTATTACTTTATTCCCATGCAAGCAAGTAATTTAGTCCCTAACTTGGTTGGACTTCCTCACTTGTTATGAGTGTGAGCGTTGTTTTACTTTTTAGTTGTTGTTGACTACTAGATTAAAACTGACAAAAATACCCAAGCTTATTACAGGACAATGAATGCACAGTGAGCCCTCTCTGTATGGGTAAGAACATGGCCACGATGAATGAGTGGCTCACAACAGACTACCTTTACCCAGAAACCATTTTATCACTGCTGCAAAGAAGTGTTTCCGCATGTGTGGTTGATGTGCCCGCTGTGCTGAGATGATAGCTGATCATTATGTTTTTTTTTCACTCATAGTGAATGCTAAAGAGTGCTGTGCACCATCAGCAGGGAAACCAACTGATTTTTTTAAAATAACATATTCCACATTATAAAGGAAGAGGATTTTGTGCTCATGTTCACTGATCTTATAGCCTAAATACTGATTATGCACCCATCCAGAATCATTGGACTAAATGTATACAGTGTCATATTTATATTATGTAGTGTGATGAATGAAAGACACGTTATTTATTTAGATAAATAAGTTTGCGACATAGAGAGCATTAAAATGTTGCAATCAGTGATCCAAAAGCAATCTGTGTTTAGGGATTTGTGACACAGTATCGAGC